TCACTATTAAATGGGACGGTGTGTTCCTCTCACATTTTTGTAACTTTATTGGCATAGTTTGATTGAAACAAAAAATGGACCAATATTGTCTCCTACATGCTGCCTTATATGGAAGAAGTAATGCCGTTTCTGTGACCCGAAACATAGGAGCAAAAAGGCTCACAAATTGTTGAAGAAAAAATCTTTTGCTTTTATCTAGTGGCCTTCTCAGTCATTAGACCTGTAGATGTTTTTCTTCAAAAGCCCTGCAACAATAATGAGCTTGGCGTTGTAATTAAGGTGTCCTGGGGAAACTTAGGTTCAAAGGATATGCAACAAAATACTTGTATTCGAATTGTTAGATACTTAACAAATATTACACTTCTCTCATATAATAATAAGCTTTTTCACCGCAGCTGTAGTTGAAATAGTATGGAATCATTTTTAACAAAAACCATTTAGCTAAGCTAATAAAAATTATGTAATTTATATTAACAAAAAGGATTATTATTTAATAATAAGAATACCAATATATTGATCACATTGTATAACTATTTAGTATTAAAACAATCACTTCAAAATGAATAATAATTATATGCTTTTATGTATGAATAATTACAAAAATAAATACAATTTATATCAATAATAAAATTCACCATAAAATATACATATTATTAATATTCTTGTTATTATAATACGTACTATTTTATGTCTGTATGTAAGTATTTGAATCAAATGTGATACCACAGCTTCATAAAAAAAAACAGCCCTAGCCTTGGATTATTTAAGCTTATCAGCACCACAAAATGCTCTTTGCTTGCTTCCCATTTGATTAGAATACATTTTTCATAATTGTTATTGTTAAATACGTACATACATACGTACATACATACGTACGTATGTTTGTATGTATGTATGTATGTGTGTCGAAAACGTGGTCAAACAAATACATGTGCACACGTATACATATACATACCTATACCTATAGGTGATGTTATCAGCAATATTGTTGCTTGATTTGAATATAACCAGAAAAACACGACGATCACACAAAAGAGTTTAAAACCACAGATTAGCATAAAATTTCAAATTTTACGACTGCGTTAACTTTGATAAGCCAGAAACAAAAACAAATACAAAAACCAACAAAAACAGCAGCCATGCTGAGACAGACATTTAAAAACCTGTTGAAATATTTGCCACACTCGTAAAAATCCAAAAACACTAATTTTTTTGCGAATCAAAGTTCTTAATGAGTTCCAAATTAAGAAAAATCTCGCTCGTTATGTAAGGCGAAAGCTTCAAAATAAATTGAATGAGTGATTGGCAGTCTGTCGTGCAAAGGGCGGTATTTTTGGCAATCCCAGAAACAACAATAACAACAACAGCAGAAAAGCGCTTAAAACAACATCGCATTGCACTGCTTTGCACTGTGAAGAGCAGCAGCCAACAACAACAAAATAAATAAATAAATAAATAAAAGGCTGCAACAAAATTCAACGTACTTGGGTGTCTTTGTCGCTCCCGTTTGTGTATGTGTGTGTGAGTGTATGTTTGTCTCTTTGAGCTGACATCGCAGCTGACGCAAGGCAGCATCGTCAACGTCTGTGCTCTCGTCTACCACCGTTCATTGGCATTTTTCAAGCAAGTTTGTTGTTTGCATGCTGTGTCCGCTTATGTGCTTAACTGTGTGTATGTGTGTGTGTGTGTGTGTGTGTGTGATTTTGCCGTTCTGCTTCTTTTCGTTATTATTATTTTATAAAATGTTCTTTTTTGCGCAACAAACGCTGCAAGCGGCTTTGTTTTGTGCACTCTCCTGCGACTGCGCGGCGACGCGTCGACGCAACTGAGCGGCCCCGACAGCGACGCCCATAGCAAGACAAGGTATGGCCCGAAGAGGGGAGCGCCCAACGAGAGGCAACGGCAGAGGTAACAATAACAGCAGCCACGGCCAAAGTACAATGGACAAACCGACAGACAAACAGACGGACATACAAACAAACACACATTTAAACCGGTTTGCGATTTATTTTTGCTCTGCCGCTGCTTCACTCGACGTCGACGACAACGTCGCCGCCAAAGCTTGCTCGCAGTTGCCGCTGCTCATTATCATTATTTGTTGAATATACATATAACTTTGAGGAGCGCTTGGTGCGAAATTCATAGCAAAAAATCGAAAATGACGCCGCAGGCGCTGCCAAAATGGACAGCAAATGGCAAACAAAAGCAACAACAACAGCAACAGTACCAACAACAATTACACCCAAAACTAATTTAGAAGCGTTGAAAACATATTTCCGATACGAGGGCAGATCAGAGAGTGCCGCTCTCTAATTTCAAATTCCACACCAATTACAGTAGTAACTGTATTCTGCGATATCAAAAACAACAGATAACGAAATGATGAAAATTTTTGGTATAGCTAAAAAAAAAAAACGAAAAAGGATTTACTTTTTTAGTGCGAATGTATGGACACAAAATAGGAGGTAAGGCATGCTCCACAAAGTATTATATATATGTACATACATACATACATACATATGTACATATGTATGTATATCGAAATGAGCTCGCTTCTACGCTAGACTCGGGTCACTGAGAGACCGACCAGGAAGGCATAATTTGTGTTTTTTCTCTTTCTATCGCTATTAGTGATGTTATACTTGAAACTTTTAACCAACTAGATTTTAAACAAAACGGGCCTGCACGATTCTAGCATTCAATTTTATTCATATTCATAATTCATATTTTATTTTAAAAACTTACTAAACTCATGAAGCACCCTCGCTAAGATCTTTGAGCGAGGAGTGACAAACTTAAAGAGAGCAACAATGTTTGTCCAAGACGTCACGACGCAGCAAAGCGGACTGCGATGACAGCAGCGGCAGAATCGGCGGCGACTGCAGCAAATAGACAAGTTGTCGTCTTGGCCGAAATACAGACACTCACAAACACTGCACAGTGGTGCCAACCACATATGTACGTATTAACTTGGTTTTTAAAATTCCAATCGAACAAAAAACGCTTCACTGCTGTGACCAGAGCAGACGTGCTGGCTGCATTTTGCCGGCGCAGCACGCAATGGGCAGTTGTTAAGCAAACAAAACGGAAAATATTTATTGTTTTAAGCCAGCGAACGCTGTTTAAGCACAAATTAAGTAGTTTATATAAATAAATATGAGCTGCCGCTGCAGCAAACAAAAAACAATGTTTTTTGCAATAGTTTTTTCCCCACCTTTTTTTTTGTGGCCCTTCACAGTGCAACTGCAGCGCTTTTAACAGTGAACGCAAAAAATTAACCGACAGTGATCGACGCGAAGAAGAAGTGAGAGAGAATGAAAAGCAGCGAGAGCGGGAACTCAAGAAGCTGCTGAGATACGAGCAACGACGACTCAGCGGCGCTTCAATGCAAATAATTTAAACGACGCCATCATCATCGGATGCAACAACAATGCGCATAATTACATTTGAATTTAAATTTAGAAAACAATTATTATAATATTTCCATTTTCGTCGCTCTTTGCCTCTCTGCCACTGTCGCTGTCGCTGTCCACCGCTGCTGTTGCTGTTGCTGTTGCTGTGCGACAACGATGCCATCGCACGTTTTACGACTTTGGGGGCAATTGGGGCGGCGCTCTGGACGACGACAACGACTGATTGACTGCGGCAATCAAAACGCGCACAACGGGGAGCGCTTTACTTTGGCTACTGACAGCGCCAACGTCGACGCCAGCGTCGCCGCTAACTTAAGTAAATTTATATTTATATTTGTCTGCCTTGCCTTTTTGTATAACTTTTTATTAGTTTTTAACGTGCGGCAGTCACGCCGAGCGACAAAAAGTCATAAAATAAAAAATATTCAACGGCAAACAGAATTGAAGCAGAGAATGTCAATGCGATGCGCCAAATAAGGCACCGCCCCCAGCCACCCCAGCCGTATATGTGGGCGCACTGCTGCGGCGCGGCTACTGCAGTACCCAAAGGTGTGAAAAAGCCGCCGGCGCCAGCTTCGCCACTGCTGCTGCTGCAGCTGCTGCTGCTGCTGCTTCTACTACAGGTTGTCGGTGAGAGGTCGCGAGGCGTAAATACACGCAACCACATCATAATTAAAGTCTCGTTTACACGGCCAGTTTCGGTCACGTAAAACATTTTATCACTAATCTTTCAAAATGTGGCAACGGTATTGAAGTTTATTGGCGACAAAGGCTCCTTCCATACCATTGGTATGCACTTAATTATTCTAGAACTGACGTTGTTCGATTACAGCTTTCAAAAAGGAGTGCTTCAAATTTTAAACAACAATTTAGGTAGTAGAAATATACTTATTTTTCCTTTTTTGAAAATAACAAAAAGAGGTTGTTCTAGCTCTTGTACATGGCTATTGTCAAACTTATCAATAATATATATACATATATACTTATAGGGAAATCTCTCGCCTCCTTCTGGGCTACAGACATTCACACTAAACTGGTATACACCTATTTCTGTTTTTACACGGTCTTTATAACACGGTTTGAAAATTAAAAATTTCATATATATTTCTCTAGATATAAGGAACCAATCACCATATGATCAGGTACCCTTTTATTCGGATACAGGGTATAATGAGATCCCAAATTCCCAAGCTTAAAAGTAATGAAATATTATAAATTTTTCAAATTTCAGAATAATGTTCAGTTTGACTCTGCACTGTAGTATGACTTATATCTGGATACCATTTAATTTAATTCAATTTCATTTAATTAGAAACTGAATAAGTGTAAGGACGTCTCCATCTGTGGAATTTTTGACAATTATGAATTTTTCAGTTTGAATTGCAATTTTAAACATGGAAGGAATATGTAATGTGATATCTTTTAAAAACTCTTAAAAAAATAAGGAAATGTCAACAAGTTGGAATCAAGAATTTTTACGTTTATTTGCGAAATTGAAATTTTAAACTTATTGTTAACTCTCTTCTTCTAACGTACAGGAATTCTCCAAATATTGGAGTTTTGATTAATAATTGATCCACTACATACCTTTCGCTTCTTTTGATCCAGTTGCGCCTTGTGCGTCTCCTTTAATTCGACCTCCTTGAGCTGATCCAATATGCGTTGATATTTCTCCCGATTCTCGACATCGAGCGCCACATGGAGATAGTCGTGCCAATTGCGGGAATCAAAGCCCCAATGGCAGGTGCGATTCTCGAACTTGCGATGCACATGCCCCACGAACTTCTGGGGCGAGAACCAACCGTCACACTCGAGGCACTTGATGCACGTCGGCTTCTGATACGAATACATATCCGGAGTGCAGATACCCTCACATTTTCCAAAGCATTTGTGGTAGACGTGGAAGGAGAGGGCGCCCTTTGCCAAATTCTCGACGGGTATATAGCTATTCCGATCTGAACGATGCAGCAGTGCTGCACACAAGCGCTCCGCATCGGTGCGTGTAATCAGACCACTCGCCTTCACATCCGAGGGCAGTATTTTGGCGGCCTTGAACTCCACCAGCTGATCGGGCGTACATTGGGAGCAGTAGATGCCCAACTCATCAAAGATCCGATTGATTTGCTCCAATGAGAAATCGTTGAGCACATTGTTGAGGAATTGTGGCAGACACAGACGCATCTCGCCACCCAGCGAGAAGCAGCCAATGGTTTTGCCCTCCAGACGCGTCTCGTAGAGCTCCCCAGAACCGGAATCGGCCACTGAGAGTATGGGCTGTGACAATTCCGGCGGTGGGGGCGGATAAATTTGTGGTGGTGGTGCTGGCGGCGGTGCCACACCTGGTGCGGCACTTGAACCAACCCCTGTGGCAACCACAACTGATGGATTGGACTGCTGCACTGCAGCATTCTGTGTATCTAGCATATCATGCGGTTCGGGTGAGCTTAAGATCTCCTTTTTGATTAGCGCCACAGCCGGTGGCACCACCTGACCCTGTCCCTGCCCCTGCCCTTGAATCTTGCCATTGGTTAGCGAAGTTTGGGCGACCGCGACTAAATCACTAATGCCATTGCCAGCAATGGTGGCATCCAATGGACAATTCACGCCCGAAGCTGCTGCTGCTGCCGCCGCTGCCGCTGCCACGGCCAGCGTATGTCCTGGACCCTGCAGACTTTTTGGGGCACTGTTCTGGTACTTCTTCAGCACGCTCGTTATAGTGGGCGTCACGTATTCGGTCATTTTACACGCGCAAGGACGCGGGCACGTACTTTTTGTTGTTGCTGGGCAAGCTTATTATTATTATAATTATTATTATTTGTATAACAATGTTATGTGCTATTATCGTTGGTGTTGCAATTGTAGTGCTGTTTTCTATTTTTATATTTCTTATAAATCACGGCAGCGCCCACGACGACAGAAATTCACGAGAGCAGCACAACATTTTTGCTCCCTAATTATTATTTGGGTATTTATTTGTATGTATTTTTGTTAACAATTTGGCACTTTGTACAAAAAACGCATAATTCATTCTTCATTTTTATTTCGGTTGCGCCTTGCCGACGGCATTTTGACGCCGCAACCGTCGCTGCTGCTGCTTCTACTTCTGCCGCTGCCTCTGCCGACGCCGCTGAGAGCGTGAGAGCTTTTGTGGCGCGTGTTTTTCTCTGCCGCTGTCGACTGCAACGCAATCGCAGGACTGACAATATTTTTTAAAGATTTCTGTCCAGTTACTTTAAATTTGCAATTTAATTTGTGCCATAAATTAATTTTCCACTTATTTACTTCACTTATATTATTCACGCAATACAATTTCTTAATTTGAATTTCGTATGCGCTTAACTTTTATCTATGCGCTGCAAAAATACACAAACGCGAACACACACATACGCACACACTGGCTGCCGAAGAGTGAAGAAGCGCGCACGGAGGGACGAAACGAAGGCCGGTAGACGACGACCAGCCAGCCAGACGTACACACAGACACACACACACACTCGCACACAAACTCAAACGCACACGCACGCAGACAGAGAGACGGCGTCAACAGTAAAAACGTAAACGCTGCCAGACAATTCTTATTGGATTGCCGACGCTTTGCTGCTGCTCCGCTACTGAGACTGAGGCTGCGACTGCGACAGCGGCTGCCGATTTGCCGCCGCTTGTTAGTGTGTTGTTGTCGTTATTGCTGATGTTTTCTTGTTGTTGTTGTTTTTGTGCACTATTTATAAACTTCTAAAAATGCTTGCAAATATTTTTGCATTCTTAACGATTGCTTTGTCGTTATTAAATATTTATTTAAATTATAGCTCTTTGCTTAACCACACACACACTGACACACGCGGCACTGCGAGCATTTTTTATATTATTTCTTTTAGGTGCTTCCCTACTTATTGTGTGAAAATTGGCGATGCCGACGCGTAACAGCTTTACGTTCTCACAGGAGGTTCAACCGCGGACTGACAACAGCAGATTGGAAATTGAAATGGCAAGGGGGCCGTACACATCGAACATGTTCCGGCTCCCGCGTTGGAACAATACAACGTGTTCGATTGTGTTGGCAATACAACTTGTTGTTGCAAACATTACAGCATAAGCTTTTGCATTTGCGGGACAAGGACAAACAATTGCGCGCTTCTTCTGAGTGGTGAGTTCAACCAGCTGGTGTGGGGTATTTAATGTTGCAAAAAACATATCTGCTGTGGGTAAGAAGAGTACAGCATCTTGGCGGCAAACTGCCGATTCATTTGAATTGCTGATGGCGAAATGCAAATAAGTAATATTTTTGTCTTACTTAAAATATCACAATTATCTAATAAACAAGGGCTATTTGGTAATCTGTAAAAAGACAACGACGCCAAAGAAAGTATGTATTGAGTACTCGATAATCAGTTTGGTGCTGCTATCGACAGTGCGATATACAAATTGGTGTCATCGCTAGTACAGCTGTTTTGTTGTTTCTATTTCTTCGATAGGATTGGTTTCCAAACTAGGTACGAAACTAAAGGAAAACTACATTACTTAGCCAAATTAAACTCAAACTATAGGGTTCTTAACGTAGTTAAGGTTGTTCTTTACTTTGTACAATTACAGTTCGTGAAAGCGTTTGAAAATGCCGGAGCCGCGCAGCCCTATGCAGAGCTTCGCACAGTCAGTGCAGAATACCATTGATGGCCCCATTACGTGGTTCCGAGGTAAGATTTGCCACCAGTGGATAAGTCCGCGCTGCACGAATGCGATGAGTGTCAAGTGCTAATTAAAAGTTATGCTCCTGGCAAAGCAAAAACTTGGAAATGCTTCTTACATTACATAATGACATAACCTCAACCGAGGCGGCTGCTTCTGTTTTTGTTTACACCCGCACGCAGTTTATAGACAAGTTATATTGTTTGCATTGCAGAGACGATTGTCGAGCCAAATCAACAGAAATACAATTGGTATCATCAGCGCTATCGTCGCGTGCCAACCATCGATCAATGTTACACAGACGATGCCGTTTGCCGCTTCGAGGCCGATCAGCAATTCAGACGCGATCGTATGGTGGACAACGAGATTGTGAACATCTTGCGTCAACGTTTCGAGGATTGCATGCTCTACGAGGCACCCGATCACATTGCCAAGTGCACGCCGCTACTGGAGACATACGAGAAGGCCTCAGAGAACTGGTTCGTTAAGTGTAAGTGGAGCTCCAAAATGCAAAAAATGTATTTCGCTAAGCTTTCCCACTCGCCTTGCAGATGGTGATTTGGGCGGCTATGCCAATGCCAAAACGTGCTATATGAAGCAAAAGCATCGTTTGATTTGGGAACGTCGCCATGGCCCAGTCGGCAGCGGCATGAAGAGTGAGGATACTGTTGGCAGCAATCACTAAAGCATCGTATTGTTCCCGGCTGAGTTAAATTTCCGCAAAACTTGTTTCTTGAACGTGCTTCAGCAAAACAAAACAAATATACATGATCCAATCGAAGAATACCAGCTAAATAGCATGTCACCAATTCATAGACACAATCCGAGCATATTAGTAACAATATTACATTTTTTTTTGTTTGTCTTGTTACATTTAATGCTGCGATAATGTCAGTTCATATATTGTATTTTAAATCTAAATGTATAAGACGGTTTACAAACTTGTTCCTTAAAGGATCTTCAAATTCCAAGCTCGATCTTGTGCTTATAGAAGTGCATTTTGTCAAGGTCTTTCGTCCGGTTTCGTATTGAAAGACATTCTCAAAACGCTGCAGCGATTTGCGCGAGCTATGAGTCGAAGAGCCTTCCGTCAGTGCTTAAATTTGAGCTAGATGTGATAACTTAAATTGCGTACTTAATGTTAAAATATTTTTGCATTAGCTGATGGAGACAAGTGGTTTATTCATGAGGCTTTTCTTAAGCTTGGCCAATGCACTGAGCTTGCTATCGGTTGGCTTCTTTTCCTTATTATTCGGTCCCAATGGTATCATGGTGGTGTCGACAAGACGGCGTCGGAAATTCTTATAAAATTGCAGCACTTGCGGATTGGCCCACACCTGCTTGGAATCGAAGTCCAATATGCGCACCGAGTCTAGTGATTTGGCACGTGACAGAGCCACATAAGCCTGGCCAGCCTCAAACACTTTAGAGAGTGACATCTCTACGCAATCAAGCGTAAGTCCTTGACTTTTGTGTATAGAAAAGGCCCAGGCAAGCTTTAGTGGCACTTGGCGACGTGTGAGGACGCCACCGGTGGCCGTCTTGATTATCCACTTCTCGTGCTTGCACGCATACTCGTGATTGTTCTTGAAGCGCACCACTGGCAGACCCTTCTCAATGCGCACCACCACCCCACGAGCGCCATTCACTAGACCCGATGCAATGTTGATATTCTTGAGCAGCATCACCTGCGCATTCACTTTTAAATAGAGCTGTGCCGGAGCTTGGACTTGCTGATCCAACTGCTTGGTCAGCGTGGCGTCCGAATCCTCAGCACGAAAGAGCACTTTCTCGCCCGTTAGATTGTCCAGCTTGGATTCATTTATGGAATTAGCATCATTCGTGTGGGAGCACAATTGTGTTGCCAGTATGCCATTACCCTCGATCTTTTGCTTCGAGGTGGACACTAATCGTGCAGTTATCGTCTCATTTACATGCCCAATACGCAAATGATTGAGGATGCGAACAAATTCTGGATCTGATTGACGATGAACCTGCTTCAGCTCAAAAATACACTGTATGCAAGTCTCCCAGGCACTGGATTGAAAGCAAAAGCGTTGCTGAGCTGCGCTATTTTGGGCAGCAAAGTCGGCCTTAACCACCGGCGGCAGCTGCAGAAAGTCGCCACATAGGATCAGTTGTATGCCACCGAAGGGACGGTCATTGCGCCTTATGTGCCGTGCCACAGCTTCAATTTTCTACAACAGAATCAAATTTAGCGATTGGATATCCTAATTTATGGTCCATACTTAAGAACTTACCTCAAAATACTGTCCATCCACCATAGAGATCTCATCAATGATCAGTCTTTTGCATTTGCGCCAAGTCTGTGCCGAAACCGGACGCGACGCCAATTCCAGGCAACGCTGCATAGTCGCATCGCCGCCTCCAATGCCAGCAAAAGCGTGAAGCGTGGTGCCGCCGATGAGGCAGGCAGCCACGCCAGTCGACGCCGTCGCCACTGTGCCGTCCGGTGGCAAAGCAGAAATTATTTTGCGCAACAGAAAGCTCTTGCCCGTACCTGCAGAGCCCGTAAAGAAGACATTCTTGCCGGCGGTGCAGGCGCGCAGAACTTCCATCTGCTCCTCACTTAGACGCAACGAGTCCTCAGTTGATGTTTGCTGGTATAGTTTCTTGGCCGCAGGCACAGCGCCTCCACTACCATTACGTTCATCGCCCGTCTTAAGCTCCTCAAAGCGCCGCTTCTTGGCCGCGTGTGGCGATGGGGTCGTCAATGTGGCACGCGATGCCGCCAAACCGGCCTTTTTACGCGCCAAAACCATCTCGGCCGTCGTTACGGGCGAGACTTCTTCGAAGGAGCTCGGCTTGCCCGACAACATGTGTTCGCGTAACTTCTTCTGCAGGCTCGCCTCGTCGGGCTGTCCCTGCCCCTCACCCGTGCCATTCAGTTTAATGAAAATTGTGCGTAGGAAGAACATTAATGGGCCCGGCGGGGCATTTGATAGATAGAGCGCGCAGTGCTCTGCCTTAAAATTGAATGTTGCCTTGCCTTCATTCATGAACTTTTTGTGTATCATTATGTCCTTCAGTTTGAATTTAAGAGGCTTTAGCTTTTCCGGCGTCACTTCGACAAATAATTCGCGCAGATCATTGCGGACTAAGCGTAGCGTCGCTGTCTTGTACTGTAATTTACGCCCCGTCACGCCCACTGCATTTGTCCATTGAATATTCACCGCGCACGTGAGCACGGCATCGTTGAGATCCATGGTACGCAATTGTAATCAGAATTTTTGTTTAATAATAAAAACTAAAAGTCTTTTCTGTCCCCCAAACAGAAGCGTAAAAGGAAAGGGCTGCCAACTCTAGCACCCGCCAAAACTGCATTCACAATAGACAAGTATGGGATCAGTTTCAAATGGCAACGAATATCTCGAACGGGCGCTAGGTGGCGCAGAGATCGCCACAAAATGTACCATTGTTTGGTAATTGCTTACAGTTTTCTGTCCAATTTTCGAAATTCTGCCTTCTCTAGCTTCTAAATATTGTGAAGTAATACTCTTTACCTCAATTTGTATTGTATGTTAAAAATGCAATTGTTAATATGTCATGGAAATTTACAATTCATTTCGTGGAATCAAACTTTCATGTAAAACGAATATTTTTAAACTGTGCTGTAATTTTCATTTATGTACAATTTAGTTTCTGCACCTAAGTAGTATCTTCATTATTTTTTAGGTTAATGTTGCCAAGAGTTGCAAATATTATATGTATATATATTGGCTTTATTGGCAGTATTTTTGCATTAGATTATTAAATGCAACTTAAAACAGTACGAAATAATTGATTTATATTAATTATCTCTTTTGGCAACTTATGCAACTTCTGTAATGACAATAAATGTGAATAAAAATGAAGAAAATGAGTCAATACTTCACTAATTTAGAAGGTTTTGAAAACCTCAATCTTATGCTAGAATAACAAAAGTAAATACAGACAGATGAGCTGTGCTTAAAAACGATTGAAAATCCATTATGGAAAGGGTTCGAACGTTAAATGAACCTGAATTAAGAGATAATCTAGAAATAATACATTGACTGGAAGCCAATTTATTTCTTTAGATATTTTCTAATGAGATGCTTTTGCATCAGAAAATCCAAGCCAGAAGTAAATAAATAACTCATATTGTTAACCTTTCTAGTGTCTACCAGCCTTGCTTTTACGATTTACAAACAATACAATTCAAACTATGTCGGGTTTATTTTTAGTATACCTTTATTTATACACATTTTATACATTTTATTTAAATTTGTGGCAGCTCGACTCTTTAATACCCTCTACCCACCATTTTTCCCGTTCTCCATTCTTTTAATTTAAATCAGCATTGGTGGAAAATTCATTCCTATGCCAATAGTGTGCCGAATTTAATCAATCTTCAGATCATGGAGTACGGTGGCATGGGGTACAGGGTATTAAAAATGACATCAATACAAGAAACACATACGTGTGCATGTGTGTTCATTTTCAAAGCTTATTCACTGCTAATGGCTGATAAATCTTCTTCAGCATTTGGAAAAGCTATCATTCTTCGCGCTTCCTCTTTATAGAATTCATGCCACTTCTTAATGTTGTTTGAAAATTTTGAATCGTCAGAAATCTTGCATTCCTCGAATGGACCAAATGTCATATAAAATATATCTTCAATCACATTTTTGCTGATCGGGTTTAGACAAAGTCTTATTTCTTTAGCTCGATGATCTTCCCACTCTTCTCCCAGTTCTTGTATTATTTGTTGTCTCCATTTTCCAAGTTTCTCATCTTCTTCTTTCAGTTGTTGTATTATTGGTTGTGTCCATTTTCCAAGTTTCTCATATTCTTTCACAAGCTTTTCTATGCTCCTACAACTAAAGAGTGTTTTTTATTGCAAACTAAAATCGTGTCAATGTTACCTTCCTCTCTCCTCTTCACTTCTCTCATACTCCTCTATCCAGGTATATATGCCCAACAAAGCAAAGCGACGAATGTCAGCAATAGTGTCCTTTGTCTGATCCCAAAGTAAATTGAATATCGGCAAAATATCTGTCATATCGTCATACAATCTACAAAAATAGTGCGCGACAGATATTATTGATAGCTGGAAGTTCGGAGGCTCTTCCTGGAGTTTGCTCAAACGATCCGTTAGGGATTTAAAGGATACCCATTTTGCTACAAAAGTCTCATAAATCATCTTAACATTTAGTTCGTCAAACTGGGCTAATACCAAATCCCACCAGTTTTCTTCCCATAACGAACGTTTATCACGGATCACTCCAATGCGTAACAAAAACAGGCCAATGCGTAATTTAATTCTATGATCCATTGAATTGCGACAATATATCGGAGCTTTCTTTGTGTATTCCACGTGTAGACGGACTAATTCGGATATATACTTCGTATGATTCTTAGGATGGATAGACAGGTGTTCTAGACCGGTGTTGTCCCTGTAAAATGCATAAAGAAAAACAAGTTAGTAACTTTATTACGGTATAATGTTCAGCTTCTGAGACATGGTAGTATTGTTACTACTACTAAAATACATTAAAAAACAGCCACTTACATAGGATTTGTCATAGGAATTATCAGGTCTTAAAACGAGTAGAATGTAAATATTTGGGACTCTTCCTGGAGTTTTGTCAAGATAGATGTGTGTAGTATCACTTGAGCAGTCACCTCAAGGCAGACTAGACTTTATCGTATTCTAGTTTTGTGCGAATGTATGTAGCACACAGAAGGAGGCGGGGCAGACCCACAAAGTATAAATATATATTCTTGATCAGGGTGACCAGCCGAGTCGATATAGCCATGTTCGTCTGTCTGTCTGTCCGTCTGTATGAACGAAAGGATCTCAGAAAGTATAAGAGCTTGAATAACCAAACTTGGTATCCAGATTCCCCTAAGTCCGAGAAAGGACAGATGTGTGTGTGTTTTATCTGATGCGATCAAAAAAATTTTTTTTTTTTTTTTTAATACTATTATTATTCTAAGCATATGTACAGAGTATTTCAATGTCAGGACATCCGACTTTATCTTTTCTACTTGTTTTTATTTTATTTAATTCCTTTTTTTAATTTTTTTTAAATAAATGTTTTTTGTATTTTCTGTTTTTGTGGAGAGTAGAGGGTATTTTACTGTCGGGCTTGCTCGACTATAGCGTTTCTCTTGTTGTCTTTTAAATGCTGCACTTGAATATGGAAAACCCTATATCATAAACATACATGTGCATTTTACTCAAAAGGATTTTAAGTGGCTTATTTATTTAAAAATCTACTTTTATGTATTACATACATTACTGTCTGTCCATGAGAAAAGTTGAAACGATCAGTTCCTATATTAGTTGGGACAAAAAAAAGAGTCTCGAAACTAATCGACTTCGTACTTACCACAAGTCCTTTTCAGAAACCTTGTATGGAAGTATTATTTCGCGCAATAACGCCATTGATTCAAATTCAAATTCAAATTTATGTGTAGTCCATCTTACCCATCTCCACAAACTGTTGAGTGGCATAAATAGAGCAAATTTCTGTACGATTTTTAATAAATCCTTAGTAACAATGTCTTTTTCTTCTTTTCCTAAGAATTTCAAAATACTTGTCGAACTGTTTTACAAAAAAAAAAAAATGCATTTGCCATTAATATATATGTATGTGTATCAAATTTAATAACTTACACCTCTTCTTTTCCAAATATTTCCACATCAGTTTGTTCTAAGGATAAACTCAAAGCCATAAAATAGTCATAATAAATCCCAGGCATTATTGTTTTAATTTTCGTAATTTTTAAATCAATTAATTCGCGAATGGCGACTTTGGACGGACTTCGTAGAAGTTCTTCGAGACTTATATTTTTCTTTTTTATATCATCCCATTCCTTTATTTTTTCTCTGACAAAAACTTCAACAATTTTGGTCTTCACAAAGTTTTTCTCTTCCTGAGTATCACAATTCAGCTCTTTTAGAAAGTATTGTTGCACATCCTTCAAATTGTCGCGTTTTTCCAGAATGTCTATAAACGACCTGTATATTCTGAGCCAATAGTTAACGAATTCTTTAACACAGTACCCATAAGTGGGTAGGTGTACATATGTCTCTGAATCGCGTGTGATAAGAGAAATTACGAAACTTAACCAAGCCTGTTTTGAATCCTTCTTCACACTCTCTAATAATTCGGCTTGATTTTTCTCAATTTCTGGTTGAAATATGTCCTTGCATTTGCAACCCATATAATTATGTATATTACGTATTTTTTCCCAACTCATCGGAAATCCGCATCTTCTTTCCTCTGGAAGCCAGCCGCACGACCGATTAGGAAGTGAGTGGACAAGCATTTTGGTTATTTTAGACACTATTCGAGGGGTCACCCGACAATTAAACATTGATAAATTTATATTTTGGCAGAACTCAGCAAATTCCGTAAGTGATATATGGTCTATGGTTTTCTGAAATAAAGTGGTTGCAAGAATATAATACACAAATTGTTTTAACTATATTACTAGAAAAGTCACTTACCTCAAACAAATCAAACATTTGGTCCCCTAACTTTTCCCTGAAATTCCAAGCTCTTTGAACGCTCTCAGTTAGCAAGCAAAGGGTCTCGAACCGAAGAATTGGTAATTTTTCACGTATTTCTACCAAGATGTCCAGCCAGTAAAAAAAGGCCACTGGATGCCACTTAACCGAGCAAAATGCCTCTACGAAGATTGATATTTCTTTCGTATTCGCTCCCTCGACAGCACGGTTTATTGGCAATAAGAACCCATTGGGATTGTGAAGCTCCACATTATTCGTGGCCACCAGAAACTCTTTCAGAACATTAAGGCGCATGGTCACATCAATTGAAATATTTTTCAAAATGTATTCCAACGCCGTGAACCGCAGCATTATATTTGTATTATCGCTTAAAGGTTTATCAGCAATTTGCGCAGCCACAGATGCCAATCCTTGATCGCACTCAATTCAACAATGGACGGCAGGAATTGCTTTAGAGCGCTCAGCGCCTGGTCTATTTTCCCTTGCTCGAGGTAATCCACCGTTTTGAAAAAGGCCAGCCCTTGGATGGGCTGACAATCATTCGATCCCATACAAAAATCGACAGCAGTTGTGTTTTTGAACGCATAAAAATTGTGCATTACGGCAGAAGCTGCTTTTCGCTCTTCGGGATTATCTGAACTCAAAAAATCGCGAATCATTGATGGCAGAGGGGCAGCAGTAGGGATGTTTTCCAATTTAAAAGCAATTGGTAATTCTGGTACTGGTATTTCCCAAATTTTGCAATGCAACGAAAGCTCATTCAGAAGATACTTGCAGTCCACTTCATTCCTCTGAATAAACGATTGCACCAAGTGACAGATACCTTTCCTTAGGTCGCTTCGCGTTGGGTCGAGCAGTCTTATCATCATAAGGATTGGCTTTTTACTTATAATGGATCCCCTATCATAATTGCTATGTAACAAGAAATAGATGAACTTGATGAGTTGGTTAAGTTTGTGGTTGTCGTCTTTGTTCCGATTTATCAGATCGCAGATCATGGAGTCCAAATAAGTTTCACATTCCACGCTGTTTGCATATGTTATATATTTCTCAAGCGGTTTGGTAACTTCAGTTCCTTCAAAGTTTTCATCAACATTTATATTTTCCAATAAAAGGTCAACTTCACTTAGCCAATTCGAATACTGTTCGTCGCTTTGATTTGAACTAATCAAAGTATTTTCTTGGCATGGCATTGGACCTTTAGATCTTGTTTGTATAGATAGCTGAGAAAAACCGTTAAACACACTCTCTTCGATCTATATTGGTTGATCCCCAATACTCGGATTGTTGTTTGAATCATGACTGAACAATGGTGGCAATATTTCTATACTTGTCACCTCTACCTTCGTTGAAGGCTCAATCTCAGAATCAACTTGAATTGGTGCATTCCCACTGCATTTGCCATCACTTACTGTTGTAGCATACCGGACAAAACTTACTTTCGTTTCATCCAATATTTCATCGCCATCGTAAAGCATTAGCTTACATGGGACCGCAGTTTCGATTGATGAGTTGGGACCATCATATTTTGGAACTTTGTAGGCCAGAATGCTATTCGTCTTTAGTTTCTTAAAAGTTGTGTTAGGTTTGATAATCGCTGACTCCCAATTTCCTTCCTCATTACACAATTTAATCTGATAATCTCTTTTAACATCAGAAAGCAAGAGAGACACATCTTCACCTTCAAATGATAATTTCTCGTTGAAGCACCGTATAATGCTTACTGATTCGCTCGCATTGAGTATTCCATTTGAGAAAACTGTTTCACAGATTTTCCACCGATTCCCGTCCTTGACAGTAAAAGCAGTGAATGCTAAATAAACCTATAGAAATTACAAATTCAGATCTCAGCAGATCTCACTAAGGTATATATTCGTAAAAAGAAACACAAACTCACCGTCACATCCTTACCAAATTTCTGTGTAATCACATCATCCGGTGGCAACTGAACCAATTCCGGAGTTATACTTTCCTTCAGTTTCTCTACATTTTCTTTGATGTCCGTATGCTTTGTCTTAGCAATGCAATAATCGGCCAATTTAAATGTGAAATTCATTCCTGTGCTATCAATAGTCGTCATCCACTTGCGAACCGGCTCAAAATTGAAGTTTAAGTCTGGCTTCTTTCTCTTTCTTGTTTTTCCGCCCACTTCAGAATTGGGAGCAATGCCAATATACTGCAGCGTGTTTGGCGATACGAAGTATCCATCGTGACCTTCATACTCTTGAACCAATTGGCAAACAATCTGAACTGGACTCTGAAATGGCTCAGTAGTTTCTAATCTTAATTCCGAGGCTTGTAGCGGAGCCCGAAACCCTTCACTTAAATAGCGAAAATGATGACGCTGAGAGGGCTGGGCGGTAATCTCTAAGGTGGCGGGAAACATTATATCGAGCGGCTTTTCGTAATGTTTAGCACCTATAAATATATATGTAAATATCATGTATTGTAATCAATTGTCCGGATGTTCAATATAACGTTTATCCCCTTAAAAATCGGCAACGCCAATATATATGTACATATTATTTTTTGATGCGCTATGTGGGGATACATATGTACATACATGTGCATGTACATACATATACATAATAGTGTATGCATTCAATTGTTCAGTTCAACACTTTATTTATTTATCCATATGTGCTTTTTGAATATGAATGTTGTGAGTGTAAAAGGCGAGTTTCTGCTTTGTAAATCATAAGAATACATTTACGGAATAAGCTTAATTCTGGGAGACATTAAGTCCCAGAATTACCGTTTGGGTTGTGCGTTGATCACCAATCAGTCAGTCAGGACAAACTGTTTTATATACAGTGGCTCACAGCTTATTCGACCCAGTCCATAGAAAAAATTTTAAATGAGTATAACTTTTAAACGGAAAGAGATATCAACCAAATTTAAACGCAGAATCGTAGATTAATATTTAAACTAAAGCATAATGATTTCATTTATTATTTATATTAACCTATTTTATATTTAAAAAACAAAACAATTTCAACAATTTAATGTCACAGCTTATTCGACCCACGATGTTCAATGAACAGTTACGATCGCTGGACATGCAGGATAACGGTACTTTTTTGTCTATGCTTTGGTCATTATATTTGCAAGTAGAATGTGCACTTTTACTCAGATTTGATCAGCGCACCTCGTGTTATAACAATGGGAAAACGCACAACCGTAGAGCAACGTGAATTGGTACTAAACCACCACAAAAATGGCAATTCTCGCCGAAAAATAGCACAATGTGTTAATATTCCAGAGTCCACAGTAAAGGGAATCATAAATCGTTTCCTTTTGAAAATAGAGTGGAAAACAAAGGAAGAATAGCGCCAAATAAAATATTCAACGAAACGGATGAGCGAAGTATTGTGCGGATTGTTAAACAAAACCCAAAGATTTCTGCTCCAAAAGTGGCCAGTGACATATGGGACAGGCTAGACAAGTCATGTTCTGCAGAAACAATCCGTCGAGTGCTATGAAACAATGATCTGCACGGCAGAATTGCTCGTAAGAAGCCTTTTATAAGCAAGAGAAATCGTGAGCACCGATTAAAATTCGCTAAGGAGCATATTAACAAGGACTCTAGCTTCTGGGAGAGCGTTATTTTCGCTGATGCGTCCGATGGGCAAGAAAAACATTTAAAAGCTACAGTCAAACATGGCGGTGGCAGCGTCATGGTTTGGGCCTGTATGTCTGCAGCGGGGATCGGAAGAATGGAATTTATTGAAAGTACAATGGACAAAAATATGTACCTAGATATACTTAAAAAAAATTTGCTCCAAAGTGCTGAGGATCTTGGCGTAAAGGACACTTTTCGTTTCTATCAAGACAATGATCCAAAGCATACGTCCGGGATAGTGCGAACTTTGTGTATCTGGAACTGTCCGCACGTTATAAAACCGCCGGCACAGTCACCAGACATTAACGTAATTGAAAATTTATGGGCGATTTTGGACGCGAATATCCGGAAAAGACATATTTCCAACAAAAACGACTTGAAAACTGCACTTACTGAGGAATGGGCAAAGATCTCTTCAGAAATAACAAAAAAATTAGTAGAATCGATGCCAAAGAGGCTTAAAGCGGTCATTGAACAAAAGGGGGGTCATACTAAATATTAAAATATTGTAGTTGTTCCTTATTTTGCTTTTTGTCAATATTTTTTAAGGTGGGTCGAATAAGCTGTGACATTGAATTGTTGAAATTGTTTTGTTTTTTAATTATTAAATAGGTTAATATAAATAATACATGAAATCATTATGCTTTAGTTTAAATATTAATCTACGATTTGGTTGATATCTCTTTCCGTTTAAAAGTTATACTCATTTAAAATTTTTTCTATGGACTGGGTCGAATAAGCTGTGAGCCACTGTATGTAGATACTGTTTGGCTCTTCCAACGATTTTATCGTTACTCCCGTTCTCTATATTTGCCAACAAATCAAATAACTTTCTGATTCATTCTGACTCAAGTGCATTTATAGTAGTTTAATTTTTATTTTTCTGCGACCAACCTTAATTCACATTTATCATATCATAACACTCACGACGATCAAGAATAACATTTATTGAAAATTCCAAAGGAATAATCGTTATTTATTGAAATTACTACCTATATAATAAATGTTTTAATATTGTATAGTATTTATGTAAGCAATTCAAAGAAACACAAGGCTTTATCGCAATGGGTCTTTCTTTGTTATCACTTTTCAGTGCTCCTTCCGATACGATCGACCTATTCGCGACGACAAGCTTTAGAATACTGAAAGCACGTCTCCTACTACCCAATAGAGCTAGAGCTTTTTCGTTTCTACAACTTGTTAAAACGCGATGACGCAATTAAGTGTCCAACTTTCTGTATTCCATTTCGTACTATACATGAAATGTACAAGAGTGTACATATGTAATGACGCTGGCTGAATATCGTAATTTTAATTGCATTACCTTTGTCAAGCAGTGCTTTGGCGGCTTATGTATAGCTATGATTTGAATTAGTGATTGGTTTTAGCGCCAACTGCCTATTATCAAATTTTGTTGCCTTAGATGATGAAAACCACAAATTTTCCATAGTTGTTTTTTTTTTGAAAAAAAGAAAGCTTTTATCGCTCCGCACGGCTATTGGCCACCTACTGGTTGTTTTCTTATTTCGCAGTGGCAATATTTGCTAATTGTCAGTGGCCCTTGCTTGAACCCTGACCTGTCAGAGGGGAAATGTCAGAAGTGTTGTGAAGCAATTTCCGCAAAGAAAAGTTATCTTGCGCCGCCTCGTCATCCGGATGCTTTCCTTTCACCTCGAGATCGCATGGAAGCAAGACGTACTCAATCTACTCTAGCTGAACGATTAAAATTGTGGTTACCTATAACCTATAAGCCTTTCTAATTCGGCTTGAGCATTTTATTATTTCGGCGCTTACTTTCGGCTGAACTTAACTTGTTCGGCATACCAACGGATTTTCGGCAAGGTGCCACTTCTGACCAACGGGTAAAAAGCATATGTATCTTTTATTTTCGCATTTAAAGTGCAAGCTTTTATATCGTCATTTCGATTTGTCTTCGCTCTTTTCGTGCAGAAATGGCACCAAATAAATAAATGAGCAATTAGCGCATAAAACTGCGCTTATCACTTTGAAGCTCATGCTGAACGAAGGGCGCCGCAGAGGAAGCGTATAAGAGTTCATACAAGGTGTGTTCCGAAGTAAATAGGACTTTTTAAAAAAAAAAAACAGAACAAATGGTTTTATCGGCAAAATCAATTTACTTAATGCAAAGTAGTCTCCTTCTGCTTCAATACAGCTTTTTGCACGATCCAAAAGCATGTCGAATTAGTGTTTTAGCTCGTTGGCCGGTATGGCCGCCAGTATGCCGATGCAAGCCTTTTGAATGGCCTCTACGTCTGCATAACGCTTTCCTTTCATGAACAAATGCATTTTTCCGAAAAGGTTAGAAGTCGCACGGTGCCATATCAGGTGAATACGGAGAGTGGTTAATGGTTAAAATGTCAAATAATCGGTCACAATCGGTTGGATTCTGAACAATTTTTGGTCGGCAGTCAATTTGTGCGGAACAAACCGTGCACCCACCTTTCGTAAGCCCAAAATGCGATAAATCGATGTTTTGGAGATGTTCAATTCCATTTCCATCAATTTCAATGATGATTTCGGCTGATTTTTTATGAATTCACGCACAGTTTCGATGGAATTTTCGGTGATCACGAATTTTGATTGGCCCACATGCTGATCGTCATTTATGTCCTCACCACCACTTTAAAAACGTTGAAACCACTCGTGCACTCTGCTACGGGATAGGCAATCATCGCCATTAACTTGTTCCATCAATTGAAACGTTTCGGTAAAAGTTTTACCAATTTTAAAACAAAATTTATTGTTGGCTCTAGCTCATTTTCGCACCGATAACACAAACATACTGACACTTAAAACGCAATAACTTCACTTCCAATCGATGAAATGTCATGAAAATCTCACTGGACAATCGATAAAGATAGCAGATTCTAACGCACCTGTAGATAGCGCCACCAGGGGGCGCTACATTCAAAAAGTCTCGTTTACTTTGGAACGCACCTTGTATAATGTTTTTCTGCGTTCTATTTTTTTTTGGTTATCTTTTTTTTATTAAGTGAGCAAAGCAACAAGGCCTGGTGTAAGTGCGAAAGAGAAAAAGTTATTTCAAAGAAGTAAACGAACAATTTCTTAACAGTCACGAAAGCAACAAAAACTGAGTAAACAACGCAAGAAGTAATTCATGCCAAAATTATATTCAATGTGTGCAAGGCATTGATTTCATATAAATTCCGCATTATCAAAAAAAAAAATCTTTTAAAAATTATGCATGTAGCAGCAGAGAAGTCGTCGCAACCGAAAGATCTTTCTACGTTGGACAAAAGACTGTAAGTAAACCCATTATAATTTTAACAATATACATATATCTAACTGCTGGCATACATACATACCTGCGCGAATAAATGAAAACGCATATGCCTTACATAAATACCTATGTAACCCTTTGTTTGGTCACTTCGTAGTTTAAGAGAATTAAATTCAATTAGATATTAAGAATGTTTTGAAGTTTAGATTTAAGTAAAAAATGAATTGTTTGCACATATGTTATTGTTAGGCGGTGTTTACAGCTGTAAGTTTTTTGTTTTATGTTGCTCTCTCGCGCTCTTGAATGCGATCCACTTGCGCATGAGAGAAAGCATAAGCATTGCATTACTCGACAATAAAGTCACTTAGAAAACTCAGATCAGACGGTGCAGTTCGCTTTTGTAACTTCTGCAACGTAAATTCAGTGCGAGCCGAAAACAGTCTGCCATTTTGACATTCAATAACATCGCTTCATTTGGAAGCGAATTAAGATACCTTGGACCTTCGCCTTTGCCATACCGGCAAGTTTCCGGCTTAAGCCGTACAATCTGATTGCCTGCGGCGCATTGAACTTCTATTTTTATACTCTGTACATGAAATGTACAGAAGTATATTAGGATTGCGGGAGCTGAAAAATGTAACAGGCAGAAGGAGGCGTGGCAGACCCCACAAAGAATATATATTCTTGATCAGCATGACGAGACGAGTCGATCTAGCCTGTCTGTCTGTCTGTCCGTCTGTCCGTCCGTATGAACACCTGGATCTCAGAGACTATAAGAGATAGAGACACCCAAATTTTGCACAAAGATGCCTTATGTGTGTATTTTATACGAGTTTGTTTTTTTTTTATTTCCCCCCTTTTCCCCCCTATGGGGGTTTTCCCGATTTTCCATTCGTATAATCGCCTATATCTCGGAGACTTTAAGACCTAAGAACACCAAATTTTAGTCCAAGATGCCTTGTGTGAATACGCAGAAAATGTATTTTGGAATTTCCCTCCTTCCTCCCTCTCTCCGCAAATTTTCTCTAACTCCCGTAATTCTTGGAATTTCGAACTAAAATACCAAATACTCCCTATTAGTTATTATGTGTCCGTATGCCAAGTTTAACTATAATAGACCGATTTAACAAGATGTTATAGCCATAAATATATTTGCTGCTGCAGCGCTGCCCGCAGCTGTTGTTGATGTTGCTGTTTAGTTGACTGCTAACATGTTAACACAGACACGAATAGATGCGCATAGGCATACATATACTCACACAGACGCAATTGCTATGTAAATGTGTAATTATATACCCTTTACGTGAGTTCGAATACCGATAAAGGTAAAATCGATCAAAATTTTTTGTTTTAATTTTTCTAATTTTTTTCATTTTCTATAAATATTGTAAACATATGTACAGAGTATTTCAAAGTCGGGACACCCGACCTTAGCTTTTTTACTTGTTATTATAAATTATTTGATATTTTCGTTAAAATGTGCATTTTATAGTATAAATTTTAGATTGTTAAGTATTTGATCTTTTTTTGCGATGCATCGACCATGTATCGATTTTTTATAAAGAGACATCGATGTACATCAACGTCGATGTTTTCCCTTCGATTTATATCCCTAGGGCAGTGCTCTGCCTTAAAATGAATGTTGCCTTGCCTTCATTCATGAACTTTTTGTGTTTCATTATGTTCTTGAGTTTGAATTAAAGAGGCTTAAGCTTTTCCGACGTTACTTCCACAAATAATTCGCGCTCATCATTGTGGACTAAGCATAGCGCCGCTGTCTATACATACTGTAATTTACGCCCCGTTCGTCCGTCTGTCCGTATGAACACCTGGATCTCAGAGAATAAAAGAACTACAAAGATGTGTGCACTCTGTGCAAGTTATCCTCCCTATGGGGGATTTTCCGATTTCTCTTATGTGAATACTAGTGATGTAAGTCCGAATCGGAAAAGAAAATTGCCATGACAACATCGATGCATAAATTTTTAATAAAAATGTAAAAAAAAAACAAGGGAGAAAATGGTGCTGCCAAGCGGGCTCAACTTTTAATTTAAGAGTCTTAAATACCCTATACCTACACCTGTGCATATTGCATTCGCATCGGGGTACAAAAAGAAATTAGGTGCCCATTTTGGCATTAATCATACGATTTTAATCCAAAAACATGTCATATATGTGGGGTTTTTTATTTAATACAATGTAATGTTTAGTTAATCAAAAGGTGGGATTTAATAGAAATAAGTTTGTTTACATCTTTTAAAGTCAAAACCAAAAATGCACGGCTTGGCTCAGCGTTCCTAGTACCATGGCTTCAGGTATTCAGCACAGGTCGATGAGTTGTTTGGGCCATCAGAGTGCCCACCTTGGTAACATCGTAGGAATTGTTATGTTTTATTTTGACAATTTTGTAGGGACCCAAAAACTTCGGCTTAAGTTTCAGACCGCTACCAAATTGAGTTCGTTTTATGGCAACTACGACGTTGCGGTCGTCGTTAAATGAATCAATCAATTCATTCTTTATCAAATTTTGTAGATTCTGGTCTTCTTTGTATCGCATCTTGACTCACATTAACAGCTCAAACGTGTGTGCTGCCAATACTTCTGGTAAACGTTGAATTTATGGCGCGCTGGGACGCGATCGGTGTGCTTGTACCATTTTGCAGGGTCATCCACGCTGAGTTGGCAAGCACCGAGATGATTACAGCATTGAGTCGCCTCCACTTGGCCATTAACTCGGGGTAGTCCTGTAGTTGTCTTGATAAGTTTAAT